TAAGTGTGTGTCTAGTACAAAATATTACGAGCAACTTCGTGTGCTGCTACTTCTCAATTGCTTCATGTCAATGGACAAAACATGAATCAACTAAAATACACAATCAGATTATCAACTTTTAATGTTACACAGCACGGATATGTGAATATTTCTTATTACAAAGTATTATTACAATCATAATAATTCAAGTTGCAATATACATGATATTTTGTGATTTTATAATGAAGTCAAATTACAGACCGTACAAAAATTCAAGTCTGTATAACAGCATAAGAAAATATTCGAAAAAATAGAAAAATATCAAGATCGAAACATTTGAACTACAATATTTAATTAATTTGAGAGAAATAATTATTAGCGCTAGTCTTGCTTGAATCATTTGCTTATTTATTACAATATTGGAAATTTTTATTCAAATAAAATTGAAATTTTGGAAGATCAATTTCAAAAATATCCAAGTGCAGTGAACTCTGAATATTACAAAATTAATGTAAATGTAAAATATATTACAATTGCTTAAAATGTATCAATCGTGTAATTTATCAATTTCAGCCTATACTTCACCGAATTTTAACACGATTTCTTGATCACTTCATAAATACTTGGCGGCTATGCACAGCTATTTTGATATCAATTATTGTCCGGTTTAACTGTTCAATTCTGATTGTTCTGATTCAAATAATATGACCTACTATATGTACATATTTCACTGAAATTACATGCATTTTCTCGTAATTGGAATATCTTTTTGCTAGCACTGATGTCGGCCTTAAAGCGGCAGGATTATGTTACTTAGGCAGATTCGTGGCAATTATGAGTATCATTCGTCGAATGTATTTAACGCCTCCCGCAATTTATTGACTATCTTTTGATAGAAGGCGATTTGTTCCGTTAGATGCGTCCTTACGGCCTTATTTACATGCACTTCCCGTTCCGTCTGGAAATGAATCTCCTCAGCGATCAGAGCACGAGCTATCACATCAGTTCGATGGGAAAGATCACGTAATTGCTGTGGCTCCATTTTATGCTCGCTGACCAGTCGCTCGCAATCTCTTCGTTTTTGCATGGCGCTCTGTGCAAGAACACAAGACACGGTATATGAAAAGTTAATCTGTTCTATATAACATAACACGCTAATTTTTTTAATGTACTCTACGAAATACCTTATGAATGCTGGTGACGTCGGGAAAATTGCTAATAATACCGCGATAAATATGAAACTTGTCAGATAATGGTTCCCAATCGAACTTTGGCTGTTCCTCGTACAGCTTACCGATATCGTTGTAAGCATCACCGGTCGCCTTCAATGCACGTGTCAGTTTACCGCGACCATTGTCATCCGCCTCCAAAGCGTGGCTGAGTGATGTAAACGATTGACTGATCTTTTGAAACTCTCTCTTGTACAATACTTGATGTTTCTTCGCTTGATCGACCGCCATAGCCATAAAGTTCTTCACCACTGGATCCAAACCACTGATAAATCTATTAAAGGCATCTGTTTGGAGCTCCATCTTTATGATGTCCAGCGGTGTGTCTGAACACTGAATAGCATTGAAGTAATTCACGCCTAGTAGCTCATCTTTCTCTGCTTGTCGTTTTCCTGCCTTCCATCGCTTCTCGTCCGTGCAGGTGATAAAATGTTCCCAGACACGACTACGCGACAACACGGGGTGTCGACAGACATAATCGACAAACTCCTGTAATTGCGTACGTCGGTGCTCGATAAACGCGTCCTCGTAGCGTCCTGATATCTGCTTATCAGGCAGAGGCGGGATTGGAATAAAGCAATACTTCTCTTCTAGGCGTTCGTGCAACCAATCGAAATGCTTGTACCTCCTTGAGACTTGTATATTATTGAACTACAATATAAATATTAACATTAAGAACAGATATTTAAATAATAAATGAAAAAGATGATTTCTTATTACCGTAGGAGTTAACTGATAGACGATGAAACTTTTGAGACCCTTCAGTTTGGATTCCTTTTTGGGTGATGTAACAACGCAACTGTAGGATTCCCCAGTCGGTAACCATGTGCACCGATTACCTTCTCCTTCTTCTATAAAGATTTTTTCGCTGTCAGGCACAGTTACCACTTTGACGCCCAGCAGAAAACTATCTTCTCCCGACTTGATTAATGTAGAAAACTTATTGTTTCTCTTTGGTACAGTGGGTATAGGTCTCTCTGGTATCACAGAATGTATAGTATGCATGGACATTGGATCTCCATAATCATTGGCGTTATTCTGTTGCGACAGTGGTATCTGTGGCTGTTGCTGCTGTTGTTGCGTAGGTGGAACGTAAGCCTGCGTTTGTCCGACTTCGGAATCATCATCCCAGTCATCATCCCAATAATCTCCTGAACTTTGTTGGGACAATGTCATAGTATCTACACATACATATGATATACACAATTGTTATAAGCATCGTGTTCACATAATAACAAAATAAACTCAGAAGATGATAACATTAAACGGCCTGATGATACCTCAAATGAGTATCACAAAGGCTGACAGAAGGCAACTTTGTTATCAAGGACACGCAGAAATAAAGAAAAGATACAAAAGAACTGGAGAGCAGACCTGAGACTCTCTCAATTCGAATTATAGGAGAACTCTGCATCCGAGAGCAGTCCGTTTATCAAAAGTCAGTGTAACACGTTGAAATATTCAGTAACAAAAGATAAGAGTAAAGTAAAAATATTTTTATTCTCATAATAAATATTCATTAGTTCTCATAAAAGTATGAGAAAATCATTCTGCTCTAATTCAATTGTTGCCTATGGATTTCGAATGTGCCTATTCTCTGACGCAACACAGTGTTTTCCAGCAAGGACACATTGTAACACAGTGTATCATTTTAATTTTGTTTAACGTTGACGAATAACAATACAATATCACACTATGTTCTTGCAGGAAAACATTTACAGTAAATCATTACATCTTTGTTATTTATCAATGTTAAACAAAGATAAAATAATCATGGTATTTCTTGCTGGAAAGCACCAATAAGTACAGCAATCCAAATATAGATATAAATGACATTATGTACTTTTCCAAAGATAATCGCTTATCTTTTTCAGATAATCATACCGTATTACGCGACAAAAATAGATAATACAATAACAGATATCAATGAACATGTATATATAT